GATAAATTATTATAACCCATTAATATATAACAAAATTACATGTTAAATAGTTTTTGTCTTTGAATTAATTTATTTTTGGAAATAATTATATTTTTTGATTGTATATTTATAATAAAAATATACTTCGTTATATAGTTTCGATAATGAATAAAAAATGCCGCGGACACGAAAATAATAGAAAGGACACCATATACACATAAAGGACGTCTTTTATAGCGGGAGGACGTCCTTAAACCACAAAGGACGTCCTTCGGCCTATATTCCCGTCCTTCGTCCCCATGTCCATCCTTTCTCTTTAGAATATAAAATCTGTTTTCGATTAAACAAATTTGACTTTAAAAAAACTAATTAAATATAATGTATTTTTTTAAATTATTATTTATTTAAATTATTTTTACTTATTTTTATAAAAAATAAAACTTTATATTAATAAAAATGGAAAACGAGTTAACAGCACTTTCAACACTCTGCATAAACGCTGCAAAAACAATGTCAAACCTCTATGTGCCAAAATTGGAATATAATTACGTTGACGACAAGTCACTTGATATTGCACAACGCATTGAGAATGTGGATAGATACTTCGACAAACTTGATGAGGTCATCAAGAGAAAAAAACCTTATAACTACACTCAACACAATTATCACTACTTTAGATAACACTTCAAACAATATTAAACATAAAATGGCTGCTTATTCAACACGTAATGACAATGAGAAGTTGTGTGAGATATGCAATCTCAGAATTTCACTTCTTGAAAAAAATGTACAATAGACACAAAACCATTTGAAGACCAAATCAACAAAATTGTCCAAACAAAAAACAACTCAATCAATCAAATAATTGAATCAGAGAAATTCATCAATTCAAAAAGACAACACGAAGATGAACAGCAAAAACAAAAAGAAGAAGAAGAAAGAATGGAACGCGAACACATCACACTTAAAGAGAAAGACAGTCTTGAGAAGTTGACAAATATGAAGATTTCGAGTGTTGTGTTTGACTCAAATATAGACGACTGGTCAATTAACAATTCTGTGTTTTTTAAAAAGGTAATGAACAAAAGCAACTTGTGTTTTTTAATAGAAGACACAAATCACAACAAGTTTGGTGGCGTGTACATTGGAAATATCGATGCTGTTAACAAATGGCTTAATAGTGGCAATTCTTACATATTTTCACTTGTGAGAGGTGGAACTTTGAATCCAAAAAAGTTCGGGAAACGTGAAAATAACATTTATGGAAAAAACGAATATATATATTCTCAATAAGACCCATATCTCTTTGGATTTGGCGATGGTCATGATATTCGTGTGGACAAAATATATCAAAAGGGAAGTTATTGCAAACAATTAACAAACACCGCCAAACAAAACGAGTTGACTGATAATGACAATTTTACTCCAAAGAGTGTCGTTATCTTCCAACTCAACTGACCTGTTTTGTAGCTTTGTGTTTTTCTTTATATAGTTTTTAACAAAAAAATGACAATAATTTTTAATAAAAAGTGTATTGTGTAAAACAGTTATTCATTGCTAATATGGAAACAATAAAATGGACATTTCACTTCATTATAACGATTAATGATGGGCCTTAATTATTATTATAATAACAGTATGTTAGTTTTGCATATCATTTTACCTTTTTTCATTTCTCAATAAATATAAAGAAGTTTGCAACAAATTATTATATATATAAATTATTATATATATGTTAAATTGTAGTTAATTAATAACAAATTTTTAAATACAACTTACTTAATAAAAAAGGTATGAAGTTGTTCCAGTGCATTTATCCATTCCAAATAACGCGTTCATTTCACCATCATATTTAAAAACATTTTGAAGAACTTCTATTGAATATGATGTATACTTTCCAGAAAAATAACTTTCTTGAGTCTCATAAACAATTTTTAAGTCTGGAACTTCAAATTCATTTCCAAATGAGAGAGTATTGTTATTCATTTTAAAATCATATTTTTCATATCCTGCTTTAATATCAAAGAAGATTACTTTTTCGTTTTCAATTTTAAATAAAAATGATTTGCTTGATTCTAATTGCTGATTTGAAATAAAAGCACCAAACACTTTCCAATTTGAATTCACAAACAAAAGTAAAGCAGATCGTCTTTGTTGATTATAACCATAGTTATAAATTAAATTATTTATAGAATGATAATCTTTTGACAAATCTTCAACTCGTGAAAAAGTTGTTTTTGAATGTTTTTCTATTTGTTTAATAATATAAGTTCTTTTACTTAAATAAGGAACACAAGTAGTAATGGAAGATATTCTTTGTTCAGTCGCAAGTTCTTTTTGCTCTTTTATATTCTTCTCGTTAATTAGTGACGCGGTATTGACCAACTTCTGTTCCCAATCGGTTTTTGTTGCTTTAAAATCATTTTCAACACTCGAGATTTTACGTTTTAATACTTCAAGTTCGAGATCTTTGCTCTTCTTTTTTGCTTTTAAAATTTCATAAATAACATCGTCATTGTTTTTAGACAATTTTTCGAGATCATTTATTATTTTCTGTTTTGTTTCTTCAATTTTTAACAAGCCCATTTCTATTTTTTCTTTTTGCTTTTCAACGGTAGATATGAAATTTTTTCTTTGTAAAATAGCCTCTTGAAGTCTGTCATAGTAACCTTCAAGAGCAGTGACTTTCTTTTTAATAACATCTTCATAATTTTTATTTCTTTGTTTTAGTTTTTTAATACTTATACTGTTGGTGTTATTTTCATTAAATACACAATCGAATTGAGGCATTCTTTCTTTAAATTGGTTCACATTTTTACTTGCAAGCGAATGAAATTCTTTCATTTTTTCTATATAATCGTTTGTATCAACTTTATATTGATCAAGTTGTTCTGTAAACGACATGATTTTTGAATTGATTACAATTCAACTTTTATTATATACAATTATTGCGTTATTGGAGTAGGTAAGGATTATTTAAATAACCAATATTTGTTTAAAGAAAACCCTAATTATCAAATAACGTAACATTTTTTAATTTTTGTTATTTTCAAGACAACAATTATTAATCCAATTTATTTGTTGTTAATATATATACTATATAATTATAATTAAAGTTGGTGTCATGTATATTATAATACAGTAACGCAAATGTTATATCATAATTAATACAAATGTTTTTTATAATTGAACATCACTTTATCATATGTTTAATAATCAATAATTAATTAATTTAAAAAATAATTATAGATAGTTTATTAATTGCAAATAAAGAGGATTTTATAATACATTTTAATTACCAACATTACCATTTTTTTAACCAAAATATCCTTTTTTCTTATAAATTCAAACATTTTTATACCACATCATATTTTGATTTAAGGCGTTATTATATTGTTTATTGATTTAACATTAAAATGATTAATAATTATATAAAATTTTAATCCCAAACAAATATGTGTTTTATTAATAAAATTAAAAATATCAATAACTTCATTTAAATACAAAAACGATTTTTGTTAATGTTTTAAGATGACTGTAAATCACATCACAACACACTGACGTATATTATCTTCCTTTACTTTTCTCCGTTGTATTTTAAAATAGTTTGCAACGCAGCCGTACCCCATTTCTTGAACACCGATATCTTTTTTAGCAGAGGTGTAAAACAGTGTAGTTCCACACTTTTTCATCATTTTGATTTCTTCATGAGAAGAAACACTTGGTTCCAATTCCAATTTCGTAGCACAGAGAATTAAAGGTATTTCTTCATGATCATCCAATTCCAAAACTTTGTAAATATCTTTTCTGTATTTCCACACATCTTCAAAGGATTCAGCGTCATTTATTGCATAAGCAATGATATAAAAATTTGATTGTTTGATGCACAACTCTTGATTCAGTGTGTGTACATGGAACATTTTAAATAACATCACATCAAAAGTTTTGTCTTGATATTTTATTAGTTTGTGAGATTTGTGATCATCAATTGAACTAATACAACAACTCAAAAACATGTCATAACACAACCGTTGTAATAGACGTTCACGCCCAACACGATTATTTCCAAAAACACATCCACGAAGAATTGGATAGTTAATTGCACTCATCTTTTATTATTGAAGTTTTCAAGACAATACAATTTGTTTAAATATTAAACTGAATAATAGTATACTATACTTTATAGTTTATTTTTTATTATTAAATTGTTGAATAATATAAAAATCATTTGGTTCTAAAATTTTATATATATATTTATAACGTATAGTTAATTTTATGATAATTTTACTATAATTATCATTGTGTTTTATACTTTACTATATTATATAGTTTAAAAATTATTGATTGTATAAAACCATTCACCAATTAAATCATTATAAAAAATATGACTTAAAAATGGTTTAAATTAATTAAAGATGACCATTCATCATAGCTCTGAAACTTCTTTCTCTTCTGTCATCCTCTTCTTTTCGTCTTAAATGATCCTGGAACTGTGCATTTGAGATTCTGTCTCTCTTTTGTTGTTCAATGATTTTCTGATCAACGTCCTTATATTGTTTGTCCATATTAGAGATATTCGAAATCATCACAAGTAAGTCACTTGGGAGGTTAATATTAGTTTGCTCAAATTCGAATTTCTGTTTGTTGAGTGTTTTAAAGACAACGTAGTTTTTGTATACCCAATAGAAATACCCATCTTCATATTTGTAACACTTTCCATTATTATCATATGTCAAAATTAAAGACGTGAATGTGCTGTCAAAGCCGTAATTCCAATGAAAAGTATTGGACAATTTAATACCGGGCAGGGAAGCTTTTATATCAAACCCACTTGGTGTTTTAGTGACATCAAATTCTTCATTATTTCCAGTTAAAGTGATCTTATCTGTGTATTTCCCGAACATTTCTTTGTATAAATCAGTCACTATATTTTTGAGTGGTTTGACGCACTTTTCAGTGAAAGACTTTTCGATGCGAATTTTAAAGAAATTATACACCACAAAAGCCATTGCATCGTTATTGGTATTGTTATCAGATTGTGACGTACTCATCATCTTAAATTCGGTTGTTCCAATCTTCTTTGGAGAGTAATCTTTTAACATCTTTTCGTATTCCTTTTTGTACACATTCTCAAAAGCAAACACCGAGTACTCCTTGTTAACATCGGTTTCTGAATACAACTTTGAGATGTATTTACACCCAGGAAGTGCTGCACCAAAGACTATTTTAGCTTTGATATTCATTGGTAGGTCAAGTTGGTATCCAACAAAAGTGAACAAAGGCGCGAGTAAATCGATGCAACACCCCATTTTAGCGTCATACAATTTTTCGCAGTATTTCTTCCCCAAATAGTCTGAAATAGTGGAGACGTACCTTTCTATGTATTGGTCAGAATCTTTTTCAAATGTTTGTGTGAATGACAATTCCATGTTATAATCAATTTCCTCCATCAATTTGGCGTATTGGTACATCTCGTTGTGGTTCTTGCAGATGAGAGAATTAAAGAGTGAGTAATTTGAGTTGATCAGTGCGACACGGTAGTTGTATGATGTGCGTGGACTCATATCAAGAATTTTCATAAAAGAAGAGTCAAAATCTCTGTACCCTCCATATGCAAAATAAAGTGATTCGTCGGTAGAGGGGGTGCGATTTATCAGAGGGACACTGGCAGACACAATAGACATGATGTTTGGTAAGAATCCCATCGAATTTTCTGAGCAAATTGAAGCGTCTATTTTTGTAACAAAGTCTCTGACTTCTTGAAGATGTGAGTATTGTGACCTCAGAAAAGTTGCTATATAATTGCTTTGAATTTTATCATTCAGACTTCCTGAGACTTTTAATTTCAAAGTCTCCAACAATTTCTTGGCAAATTGAAGTTCACTTTTATATAGCACTAAATTGCTTTGATCCACCAGAACTTCATTTAATGAATTTTTAATAGCAGTTTCAACGTATTTATTTTGGAGTGTCTTATCCAATAACGGCTTTAAAGAATTAATGATTCCTTGGAGTTTGAGTATTAAATTGTTGTTATAGTTAATATACACTTTATTCACATTTTGCTGTTCATTCAGTGTTTTGATTACTTTGATTTGTCCGCACGCCTTGAGTGTTATAAGTGTGTTGTACAGTTTAATTTTCTCTTGTATAAAAACAGGCAAATCTGTAAATTTCAGATCAAAGAAAGAATAGACCATTTCAACATAGAAAAGTAGTCGTGTTGTATCTTCCATGAATTTAGTGATGTTTTGGTAACTTCCTACCTTCTCTTTCTCAATATCAGCAAATGTCATGATATCTGGGTTAGACCCCAATAAGTCTAAAATAAACTGTTTTGTCTTTTTAAACTCCTCTTTTTCTTCATCTTTGGAAATGGTTTTCAACTCCTCTAAAAATTCTTTTTTGTCATTTTCTTCACTTTTTGCTTCAAAATTCTCCCCAAAGCAAAAATTGTAAAATTTCTTCATATAATTTGTCATCTCAAAATTTTTCGCTTCGTTTTCTTTTGTAAAATACTTAGTGAGGTGATTTTTGTACGTCGAAGTGCACACATCTTTTTGAATATCTTTTGGACATTTATTGAGATTTTTGGCAAATTCAAAAACGCTGTAATTCTTCAGACGCAAGTCGTCTATTTTCGACTCGACATATCCTTTGATCATAGCATTTGGGTATTCCATTCTCTTTGGTAGATAATGCGTTCCAGTCAACAATTCAATTCCACACAAAGCCCCATTGAGTGCGTTTAGAGTGTCAAAATCAAAATTGTTGTCTTCACAGACGTCGTCTATGGTTTCAAAAAGTTTATTAATTTTTTGAATGCTTTCATTGGGGAAGTTAAACGTCTTTGTAAACATAACCGCCTGTTTCACTATCACTGCGATTTTGCTGTATGGGCTGATCGTCTTTTCCGACTCTGCAGAGTACAAGTTGTTCAGACATTTATTGAGTTCTAAGAGGTGTCTGTGCTCTAACAATTCGACGAGTTTGTCCTTCAATTTTCCACTACGGACTTCGTCTAAATCACTTTGAATGCTTTTCAAATCTTCGGTATTAATTGAACTACAAATTACTTTGACGTTTTGGTCTGCAGTTGTTTTTTCTATTTTGTTCACTTCGTCTAATTTTAGTGAGACTTTTAGAAGGAGCTGAGGAATGTCCTGATACTCTTGTTGAGTAACATTTGAGCATTTGTTTTGTGATTTGATTTTATCAATATTTGTGGTGATCTGTTCGACCAACTTTTTAATTTGAGTTCTCAACTGAGTAATTTTATTCACATCTTCTGATTTTATTTCAGTTGTTTGTGTTGTTTGTATTACTTTTTGTTGAGCACTTTGCTTTGATAAATCACTTTGTTTATTAATTGATTGAACATTTGTTTGAGTTGCTTGTACTGTTTGTTGAGTATTTTGAATGACTGGCTTACTTTGTTGAACAAATGGCTTTTGTGGTATAACCGTGGGCATTTGCACAACTTTTTGTGGTTGACTGTAATTGACTTGTGGAGTACCCACATTTGTTTGTTGTTTCATAGAATCCTCCATTATTTTATTTTCTTGCATTTCTTTTTTAATTTCTTCAAACATTTGATAATACCTTTTAGACTCTGGTTTAATTGTTTCTATTTTATTTCTCATTTTTAACAAACTAGAATTTGGATGTGAACTTACAACGACTTTATTCATATCATCTTCAATTGACTTCAAATCGTTTTCAAGGTTATTCTCTTTGTTGTTCAAATTACGTCTGAGTGTGTCCATTTTTCCTCTCACACCATAAAACACTGAACTGAACACTTTCATAGCCAATAAAGTGTTAATATTCGACTCACACGTTTTAATGTTTTCTTCAAAATTAATACCCTTTTTAGTGTATTGTTCTTGGTGTGTTTCAATAAAGGTTTTTATGTTTTGAAGATCTTCATCAAGACTTTCATAATAGGTATTTGCTCTCATCAAAAACCCAATTTTACGTTCAATTTCGGTGTTTTCTTTAACAAAATCAGATTCTTTCTTTAGTTTCTCAATCGTTTCATCGTGATTTGTTGTGTAATAAAAATTCACAAACTCGGCTAGATTGGGATTGATTCTTAAAATTTCATTTTTCAATGAAAGAATTGTCAAGTTGGTCTCTTTAACTAAAGGCTGATCCAAATTCATACGAACAAAGTTTAAGTTACTTTCATAATTTTGCCAATCATTGTTTGTGATGGCACTTTTTATTGTGTTGTACCGCCAAGATGAATTTGAAATGACTTGAATAGCTCTATCAATACAGACTTTCTTGTGTGTTTTTATGGCTTTCTCCTTCGCTTCTTGAACTGTCGTAAGTTTACCTTCCTTTTCTATTTCTTGCTTCTTTTGTTCAAAACATTCATTGCCATCTTTTAAATACCCCCATGACCTTTCAGGATCACAGTCATTCGTTTGATTGTATTTCGCAATTGCACTTGATGACATCTTTTGATGAATACAGTGATTATAAAATTCTTTAAATATATGTTTTCGATTGGAATTGATTATGTTTACGAAAAATAACAACACAATAATTGTTATTAATAGATCAAAAATGAATCGTAATCATTTACAGAATGATTTTTTTTGTATTTTTGTTGAATTTACTATTGTTTTGAAATTGCAAACAAAAACATTGTAAACATTTTTTTATGAATTCAACACAAATTAATAAAAGTTGATACTTCATATATGTTTAAAACAAATATTATTATTATTAATTCTTTATAACTAATTTCATTGTGTTTTTTTTAATTTTTTGTATAATTTTAATTTCGGTAACACATGAAATTTTTAATTTTTGAAATATAACATTTTGAACTTATTTATTTAATGTTTAAGATCTTGATATTTTTGAAGTGATATAAAAAGAACAAAACTCAAAGTTATTTTAATCGTCATTTTCTTTGTTATGACAACGAATAAAGACCTTAAACTCTATGATAATTATACAAATTTTACATTAAAAATTCAAAAAATTGATGTTTTAATAATGTTGAAAACAAATATACAGATTTGTCTATTATTTTACCTAACAAATTATTAATAATGTATTGTTTAATTAACCCTTCGAGGAAGGGAAAAATCAAAATTTGTAAAAAACAATTTTAGTCAATTGTAATGTAAATGTGACCTTTTTTTCTTTAATTTTTTCAAAAAAAGCCAGACACCCTGAAAACGACGGCTCTAGTAAATTTTTATGGTAAATTGTTATAAATTATAGTAAAAAGTGAATTTTTTGTTGAAGTTGGGATGAACAAAGGTTCACTTTTTTGCTTGATCCTTTCAGAAACAAGCCACGGTTCAATGGAAAAGTCAGATCAAACATTTATTGAGATGTCTACAACTTATAACAATAATAAAATTAATTATAAAATAAAACAAAGAACAAATTGCCATCATAAAACATACTGGTCCGGAATATTCAAAATCAATTGCATCATAAAATAACAAAGAAAAAATAATAAAGCATAGACTTTGATGTGTATAGAAATTTCAATGTGAAATTAAAAACAATGACAAGGGAAAAATAAACAGATTTTTTTGTAAACTTTGAAAAATACAAAAATTTAAAAAATTGGGTTTTACTATTTTTTTGTAAAAGAAATAAGATAAGACGTAAAGACACTTTTGTTTGTTCCGACTTTGAAAAATAAATCTTAAATAAAATAAGTGTAAAATAAACAAAAGATAAGTAAAATACATTTCAAAAGTATTAAAAATCGCAAAATCGAGAAAAATTTATAAAATAAACTTTAACAATAAAAGTAGTCGCATTTAAATAAACTTTGATCACCACGAGGTTTTGTGATCATCCGTTGAAATTCATTGAGTGCCACTGTCGAGGAAGCAAGATATGAATTTATTGTTTGTAATTTTATTATTTTATCATTTTCAAACAAAAACAAAAGGCAAAACGTGTTTTATGCAATCTATTTAGAATATAAAGATTTGTATTTGGTAAATAATTGTTTATTTTGCAGCTACTGTTTATTCATTTTCAAATTATGCATTTTTGGGCAACAAACAATAAACTTATAGTAAATGTATTGAGATAATGAAAAACAAAGAAAAACACAAGTGTAAAGACAACACAAATATATACCAAAGTTGACACTTTAAATTATAATTTATAATAAAATAAATCAATTTATTGTTAATAATTTATCATGTTATTTATAATAGTTTTATAATTATGATTGTTATATATAATAGTAACCATCAACAGACATAATTTTGACACAATAACACATCAACAATCATATCTTTACTACAACGTGATGTCATCGAAGTGATAAGTAATCACAATGATATAACAATGTTGTGCAATTAAAACTATATTGTATTTTATGTATAATTATAACAAAAAATGATATAATCATTCCTTTTTATAATGTTATTATTATAGAAGATACATAGTGTTTGTTATAAAGAGTGTTTGACTGAAATACACAGTTTGAATTAAAACAAAACAAATAAGCATTTAATTTATATAAACAGAAACACGCTGGTTTAGTGAATGATCAACAAAATGATCATGTGTGATATAATCGATGTAGTTGTTATATTGATAACAATTTAAATTATTTGGATGTTAAAATCGATTACATTCTATATTTCTAATATTATTTTACCATTAATAATATAGAGTCTAGAATAATAATATAATAATTATAAAATAATAATTTAATTTTTTAAATGACAATAATAGTAAAATAATGTTATTTAAACACACCTAATAACAAAAATATTTAAATATTTTTGTTTTAAAATAGATAATTTTAAAGAATATTATAAATTAACAACTATCTGTTTTTCCACGACAATGGATCAATAAGAAATAGGCAAACAATTGTCATTTATAATATTGTTAACAGTTATAGTTAAAAATATTAGATAATTTATAATGTATTGTTTATTTGATTGATTTTGTAACGAATTGTGTTTTGTGTTTTAAACAGATTTTTTTGTTTAAATTTTAAAATTAAATACAGTAAGGTTACCCCGTTTTGTTCAATTGTTTTAATAATGCAAGACAATTATAGTTATTTTTAATTAATATAAACTATTTTAACAATTTAGATGCAAAGAACATTTTTGCGTTTTTATTTGGAAATTGCTAAACAATGAAATGGTTTAAATTAATTAAAAGTACTAATTAAATCTTACATAAAACAACGTCACTTGCTACACAACAAAAAAGTTTATGATAAAAAAAGAAAATACTTGATATAAATTTGAATAAACACGATTATTGAGTGGTTATTTCAAGATTTGTTATGGATAAATTTATTGTTTACAATTGCATTATTTTAAACAACAATGTGCAAAACCAATTTGTAATCAAAAATTATCATTTTAATCCTTATATCCCGAAAAAACATTTGAATATCTAATAAATATCGTAAATCAACATTAAATAATTGTGTGAAATAACACACAAATTTCTTGTTATATTTGGAATAAAAATTCAAAAAAATAATTACTTATTACTATAAATAACTTTGCCGCCTTGCATTTGATTTGACGAAAAAATGCAAAAATCTGCTACATCATTAGAACTCAAAAAATCACATTAATTATCAAATGGTGAAGTCATCACCATTGGCAAGAAATAATCACACACTTAGAAGCACTCTTCCAGTCATCATTCCTTGGTATGGAAGCATCAGGTATTCGCGAGACAACTTACAACTCAATCATGGAGTGTGATGTCGATATCAGAAACCAGTTGTATAAAAACGTCGTCTTTTCAAGCGGAACATCAATATACCCAGGCATTAACGACAGACTAGAGAAGGAGAAAAATGCAAATGAAAAACGAATAAGTATAATCAAGGCTGTTCATGCTTGGCTCAATTTAATTATATTCATATTGGTGTTTATTTGGTTTAGTTTTAATAATTATTATAATTATTGTTATAATCAATCATACAATTTTAATAATTCTACTATCTTTTTTATTTTTCACAAGTTGATTTTTATAGTTCGTTTATAATAAAAAGTCTATACAATTTATTATTCTTTTGTCACACATTGTATAATGTATCCAAAACAGCTATTTTTCTCGACTTAAATTGATGTTTTATAGAGTTTTTTTTACCATATAATATAATTATTTAATGTTATTGTTGTGTTAATACAATAACAAACAGAATTAATAGTAAGTAGTGGGTTTTTATCGTAATATTTTGATGTTATTTGGTTCTCTAAGTATTTTTACTTTGAGTGGAATCTATTTTTTATTTCGACAACATTATTTTTGTTATGTTGTTATTTTATTTTGGTTTGGTTTGGTTTGAACCAATCTTATTGGTTATATAAAACCCTCAATCTTGCACACTTTTTAAGTGTTTTTTATTTTGTTTTTTAAAAAACTTGAATATCTGATAATATTATTTAATCATTTTTTATTAACAATTTTATTTGTTTACAAAAACAGTTCATTTTCGTATTATTTATATTACTAATATTAATTTGTTAAATTATATATTTTATTGATTGAAGGACGAATCTTTAACAAAAACCAATTAATTTGAGTTTATGAATGATGAAATGTTTTATAAATAATTCAAAAGTTTGAATTTGAGTTGAACTATTTTATCGAATAAATCAAAAATCATTCTAAATTGTTCATGAAAAGTCACCATTATTTTCAGTTTTTTGAAAAGTGAAATTATTTTTTGAAATTTTTTTCTGAAAAAAAAGAAAAAAATAAAAATTTTTGGTTTTCGAAGGGTTAATAAAAATACAATACTAATCATAATTATTATTAAAACATTTTGAAGATTAGAATTTTGTTATTATTTGGATTAATTTTTTTTAAAAGTAAATAATACCCTTATAATATTAAATTAATAAAAATGAAAATGATACAATCGATTAGAGACAAGTCAACAAATTTGTTATTAAGAAACGAATAATAATTATATCTTCTTTTTAGTTTTGGTTTTTATTCTTTTTTAAATAATTTTCAATGTTTTTTGATAATACAGTCAAAAGCGTCTATTGTCGTATATCTGACAGAAAAACGTATCTATTAATTGTAAATAAGTAAATTTTGTTATTTTTTTTAATTTTGAAATTTATTTTTTATAACTAATATAGTTTTTAATCCAACAAAATTTACAAATATAAAAACAAATTATTAATTTGTTGTAAACCAAAATGATTGGCCAGTTGTTTGACAATTAAACATGTTTGACAATTATCATCACGACAAATTGACGCCTTTGACTGTATTTAAATATTTTATTATATTTAATTGTTTCAACAAGCTCCTCCGACATGTTGTTGTGACATTCATGAAAGACTTAATGAGTGACAGAAACCATGGAAAGGCATCTTTTGAAAGTGAACACTCACTGGATAGCTAAATACATGAAACTGGTTACTTGGACGATGAGATGGTTTGGAGAGAGAACTGATCGGAGTCATATGAACCTACCGAAAAGTTGGGTGTAACAAAATTGAATTATTTATTTTTATTATATTTAATTGTTTGTATTTTGTTTCAAAACAGCTCAATCAATGTATCATAATATGTTAATACAAATTACGTATATATTGGGTTCAGAATTATTTTAGAAATAAAGTTTGACACCCATTTAATAAAGTATATTTTAAAAGATCCTGCTCGATAACTATATTTTTTTTAAACAACAATTTATCATTCGTTTCTATATTTATTACTGTTTAATTTCATATAGAGTCAGTCCATAAACGTTGTACACTTTACGAATATTAGACTTGTTTTTGCAAATTTTTGGGGGTATTAGGATAAAAACAAAAATAGCAGCAAAAATTAAAAACGCACTTTTGGGAAAAATCAAAAAAACGAAAAATAGGATAAAAAAATATGGAAAAGTTGGGTGTACAAATACAGGAAAAACTGGTGACCAAATCATAAACCAGGGACCAGGAGGCACCAAATTTTTGTTTTTTTCCACGAAAGATTGTTTTTTTAAATGTTTTGATTAATATTTACTTTTTGCTTTTAAAAATAAAAATATACAAAAGAGAAACACAATTTACCATTTTTTGTTCAAAAAAATAACAACACATTTTATCATATGAGTGTGTATCAGAGACAATTTATTATAAAAAATTGATTATTATAAAACTAATACACGTAAAATATTTTCAAATAATATTTATTGATATACATTATATGGTTTATTATATTTATATATTTATTTAGTGTATGTTTTGTTATAAAGTATTATAACAAAATTAAGTTTCAAATAAATAGAAATAATACTTTTCAATTGTATTAATTTTAAACAATCAATATATAGATTTAAGTTGAAAATATCAATTATTTTTGTTGATAAAATATTAAGACTTGTATTTGATGAATATTATGTTTTGGTCCACATGAAAATT